CGTATGCGAAGCCCGTCTTGTCCCGAAGCTGACAAACGTGAGGCCCCGAAATAGAGAGGGGCAGAGAGAGAGAGAGAGTACTCCGAGAGTGGGAGTACTGGGAGAGAGAGAAAAAAAAGGCAATAGAGCAAATGCGCAGCAAGCACAAAAGAGCAAAAGCGGCGAAAGAGCCAAAGCGCAAAAGCCCTTCTGTCCGGCTGACCCTCACTTTTATACTGGGCATGACGCTGCATGATATGGAATACTAATTGGCTGGTTTGGCCCTCAATCTTAAGTTCCACCACAAATCACAAGGGGAATCGTGTCCCCCTTGTCCCAACTATGCTCTCCCCTTATCCCGCCGTGCTTCTGCACTCCGGCACACTGAAAAGTCCTTGGAGTTTCACGTCCAACCACAAAGATCAACTTGCTATCAGCATTCTTCTCAGAGCGAGCCTCTGAGTAAAACCAAAACATGGAGCTCTTCTAGCTGTTAAAAAGAAGAGCTAACTGTCCCAGCTAAAACTGAGACAGTCATTTTTGGCATTTTTTGCCAGGACTTTTGCTAAGGCCTTTCATACAGCACTCCTTGTTTAGGCAAAACGATCATTCAAATCTTATTTCTATATCCCTTCAGTATTAATCCAGCATTTTGCCTTCACGTATGAAAGCTTCTGTTTTGAACCCATCCTGACACCTCTGGCATGATGATCATTCTATCTTGATGGCAGATGTTCTATCTCAGTAGAAGGTGAAAGAAGGATGCAGAGAAAGATGGACAGATATATAAAAAGCTTTTTTTCTTTCAAGAAAAGAGTGAAACTGATATTTTTCAAATTGGAAAAGGAACTTCTGGAGGCAAAAGCAGTACGAATGCAACTATGAAAGTGAATAATGAATGTCTATTCATTATTTATCAAAAGTGGAAAACTAGAAGCATGCGATGAAACTAGTAGGCAGCAGGTCTTAAACATATCCAAGGGTTAGACCCAAGAATTGCCTTATTTTTGCAGACTTTCCAAAGAATCAACTGCTCTCTGCTTTGAGTTAAGCTACTGAGCTGGTAGACTTGCTTCTGTGAACTAATTCAGTAGTTCTTGCATCTTTATTCATGCAGAACGGTGCCCTCCAATTGTTGTTGAGTCAGGGCAGTCTGAATTTATTGCTGTTTCCATTGTTCAAAACAAATACGTGGCTTTAGGTTTTACACAGCCGTGAAGTTTTCAATGGCATACTGGGCCTACATATTTCTTTGAGCAATGAAATCATGATTTAAAACAGACAAATATGTGTTTTCACTCTAGGAATGAGTTGTTTCATTACATATACAAGTGAAGAGTGGAGGGCTGGTATGAATCCATCCCTTATGACAAAGGAGAATACAAAGAATCCAGAGACAAAGAAGCATTCTTGGAATTATAGATTTTTCTCTTCCTGATCAACCAAGCTGTTTGGGGCAAAGATCTAGGGCAAACACACTGCAGTAAGGTCAGGTTAAAAAAAACAGATTTTTTTTTTTTTTCTGCCTGCTATACTGAGCAGCTACAGACATTTTTAAAAACAAACTCATCTTAGGCCAAAGCTGACCAAAATGCCTTCCAGCTTCAATTATTGCGGATCATTTCTAAGCAAAGCTGACCTGAGAGAACATAAGTACTGAAGATAATTCAACTGCATGGTGGCAATTCAGTCCCATCTTGATCTCCTCCACAGTTTCACACATGCATGGATGCACTCCAGAAGATTAGTTCTGGGCAGTGAAATCTTGTATACGTTCTGGAAAAAATGACCATGGCCTCAAGTCCTTATTGTGAGTCCTTCTCACCCCTACTCATCCCGTGCTGTGAGGTATGAAGCAACCAGGCAGTGTGAAGCCTGCCAGCACTGCCTGCCTGGGCAGGAAGACAGAAAATAACTGCTTTCTTGATTACTAACATTCTTACTGCCATTGTATTCTGTGGATTTACTGTTTTCTGCATTCTCAGTTTTTCTCAAATGACTGCCCTAGGACCAATTGATCATCCTTGAATAGGTCAGTAGGATGGTTGCACTCCCTGGATTTTTGCAGGAATCAGCTGCCTGGAATTATGGCTTCTGGCTAGGCCTATTCAGTCCTACCCCTTCCTTCTCCTCAGAGTTTCAGGAGAAGACTTGCTGTGAGGGCAACAGCAATCACATCTCTGAAAAGGAATCTTGGTATCTTATGGTCAAAATAGGTTTCCAATACTTTAAGTACCGAACCTGTTCAAATATTAATAGGGTTAAGGGTTTTATATAATCCTTACTGAAATGCCCTAGATTAAAGGAAGCTATGTGTGAAACTTCATCCAACTAAAAAAATTATTTAGTGGACTAATGCAACTGTTTGCACAAGTACTGCAGATAGACATTTTATGGTGTACTGAGAATGATTTCTGAAAGCTAGAAAATTCATACAAAGATTAATTTCTGAGGAAGGTAAGCTGAAGATCGTGCCTGTGTAGACCTCATATTCCTAACTGACTTCCACTACCCTCTAAACTAATCACCTCATGGTTTGGATGGACAAATAAGTTCTATTTCTAGCAAAATAAACCTACACACAGTCCTCACCAGAGCCAGTCAGTGACCTTTTGTGCTATATTCAGAATTTTGCTCAAGATCAGGAAATAGCACTTTTACAAGATTCCACTTAGCTGAGATTAATGGTAATCCACATTTTACGTATAAGACATGCTTTAAACGAGTTGAATCTTGCCGATAAATTTCACAGCTATAGTATAGTTAGCATCAAGTTACTAGTGCATTGGTACTACTACTGATTGGTGTCACAGCAATGCCTGAGCTAAGCAGGGAGATACTAAGTAGTCCCTAGGAGTGTGGTAGTAGCCTCAGTCACTGGAGTTGTAGTGAAAGCAGTAACTGCAGAGTTGTCATTTTATGTGTCTATGAGAGCTAATTGATGGGTGCCTGCTGAATAAACCTCTTTCTCCTTAGATTTTAAAGGGACGTTTTTTTAGATCTTTTTTTAATGAGCACAATAAAGACCAAGGTAGGATTCATCTTGCTAACTTTGGACGTCTACAGCATAAGCATCCATAGCCGAGCTAGTTGTTCTCTGTGCCTTATTGAGAGAAGGGAGGGGAAAAAAGCAGTGATTAATCTAACCTATTTGTATGTCTACTTTAGGATGATCTGCGTTGTACCTTGGTCTCCCTTGACTGTATTAGTAATTTCCACTGACTATACAAATCAGCTGGAGTGCCTGTCTCAAATTTAGAAGTCTCTGTTTCTACAGATGATTCCCATTCAACACGTTCAGTAAAGGCTTGATGTTCGCTTGCAAGCTTTGTATATGTGTATGAAATCTAAATAACTATAGTTAATGTTAGAAAACTTAATTTCAAATTCTCTTGAATGCAGCATTAGTGAAACAATAAAGGTAGCTTTTGAGGACAACAGGAAGTACGGTGTTTAAAGCTACCTGCTGGCATGGTTTTTCTTCTAGGTTGGCATTGCTGAAGAAGAGTGGTGAAGAAGATTGGAAGAGCAGGCTTGGCAAAAAGCAGGAGTATGCAAAAGTGTCTGTCACTGATCGTAGTGCGCAGATGCAAGAAGTTGAGCAGCTGTTGAAGAAGGTAACTCTATCCTTGTTTGGAAAAAAACATCTTGCTTGAAATGCTTCAGCTTTTTGAAGATGCATCCAACTAGACAGGCATGCCTAATATTAGCTACTAGCTCCTGCTATTCCTCTTGTTGTCAGGATTGTTTAAAAACTACTGCCACCATGAGAGCGCTTTAAACAAGAATGTCTTCACTCTCTTGGGACATATAATATTGATTACAGTGTCTTTAGATCAGCAGATTATGAACTAGTAAGTGAGCCTGTAAGGCTTCTGGAACACTTACAGGTATAATGATTTAAGCCTTTTTTTTATCCCCTAATGAAATTGGCTAAAGACTTTAAGTTCAAGTGTTTTCTTTAGTATGCGTGAGCTTGTAAAAATTTCAGATTCCTAAAGCTGTGTTGTCTCTGCATATACAGTTTTTTTGAGCAGTGATTCTTTGGATCCTAGAAACACTGAGGAAATGCAGGTACTAGAGCATTCATGAGCTATTTGTGGATAGCCAAAACCATCTGGACAAGGACTTTATCTAGCTTGTCAGAGTTAGTGTATAGAGTGGGAAATGGGTAGAAAGATGTAAATGAAAGAGAAGTCCACACTGTTAGCACATTCTGGCGATGTCTATACATGAGTAAGTTGTGTTGCCCAGCAGGAGTGGATCTGTTAAGCAGAGTCATTACTGATGAGGACCTGCTACCCATTGCTATACTTACTTGTTTGGCTTCAGTGAAGTTCTACTTTAGGCTAAATTTATTCTGCTTTTGTGGCCTGACTGCCTGTTAGCAGCCATGGAGTTACATGAGAATCCAGAAGTGCTTTTCAGGGCTGAGTTCCATCCAAAAGTCTGTGTGTTCTACAGTGTGAACCAAAGCACAGAAAGCAAGAGTGACTGGGAGATTTACTTCAAAATGGGCTGCTGCTTCAAACTACTGAACTAGTGTAGACCTACTTCCCTTCTGAGTCTCATATTTTGAAAATGACAGCGTCAGATAAAATAGGCTGTTTCAAAAGCCTTTAATTTTTGAAGGAGTGTTTTCGCAGAGGACAAGTGAAGATAAAATTTGTGTTACAAATTTTATTAGTGAGAACAGTAATCTTTGGATCCAATTATTTAATTGTGAAAATGCTGCTTCTATTAAATAGTATAGGCAAAAAGTAACAAAACATCTCCTATTCCATCAGTATATTACAAGTAAGGAGTTGCTATACAGGCTGTCATTATTGAGGATAAATATGTGCCTGAACATTTGACTCATCAATGGTTGCATGTTAACTGGACAGAAAAACAAGAAAGCTGATGTATTGCTGTTTGGTTTATGGGTTTTGTTTTAGTTTTGCCCTGTGGACTTGCTCAAAAATCCAGTTGCTCCTTCGAAAGATGTCCTGAAGCAAAAATAGTTTCAACAAGGAAGGCAAAATTGTGGTCACATTTCTAACAGGCTAGTCTCCAAAATGACAACTGTCGAGATCATATAACAAATGTACTCCAGCTAAAGACAAAGAGGTTGAGAAAAAGCTTTAAGCAGCTGCCAAGATTAAGGCAGAATCAAAACCTTTGTTCTCTCTTCCCTCGCCAGCACCCATATCCTCCCTGCTGTGTTGCCATGTGTAGGCACTTCACTCAGCATAGCACAAGTTAGGCTTTTAAAGCAAGTAAGCAAGCATGAAATGCTGGAAGGGTACAAGCTTTGATGTGACAATGCTAGCAGTGGGAGTTTCTGTGGCACTGGGTCACCCACTCTATTGGTTCATGTTAGCTCTTGGCTATTTAGAGGGTAAATCAAAGGATTTGCATGTCTGCCAATGGGTGAAATCTTAGATGTGTAAGAAAAAATGTTAGTCTTATTAGATACCCAACTCCCTGAACTATACTAGTATCTGTGATGCTGATTCATCCTGTGATACATGATAAATAATGTAAACCTTCACTAAGTTGACCACGCTGCTTACAACACACTATGTCAGCTGCCCTTAAATCGGGAAATACTATTATTGGTAATTAATCAATGTGATGGCTATTATCCCTTGAGGACCATGAAGTAGTGTGCCACTGAAGTCTCTATTTGTAGAAGAGCTTTGAGACTACAATTTGCTTAAGAATCTCAGTGCTTTCTGTTGCTGGATTACAAGAAAAATGCGGGAATGGTATTGATTCCTGTGTTTTGAGCCAGTTAAAATACCGTTTCCACACATGGCAGTCACGCATCGACAGCAAGGGTGTGTAATCTTCTGTCATGTCCTGCTGGTTCAAAATAATGCGTGAAGTTTTTAGTTGCAGTATGTCACTCCTGTTAACCTTTTTAGGTTTTATTTTCTATGTGCATGTCTCTTAAAAGGTTATCTGACTTGTCCTGGAGATTTGATTATTGAAGTGTAGCTGTATATAATAGAAGTTGTTAGGGTAAACTGAGATTTCTTATAAACAACCAAAGTTGAAAGACTCATACTCTTAATAAAATAGTTACACTAAATAGTGCTGTTTGATCATTTCTAGTCAAAACGCTTCTGCACAGTTGTCTGCCTGGTGAGATATTTCTCCAAATGTGTTGTAGTCATTTATATGTAGGCTAAACAGTAGAAAAACCATAAAATTCATGGAAAAGCTGACAGAACAACCTCAAAGGTGTGTGTGGGGCAGGGATGGGGGGAAGGAATAAAGAATTAACTGAAGGAGATGCAGATGAAGGGGAAAGTTGAGATTTACTTGCAGGTCCAGCAATCTGTTTTGATGATTGCTGCACATAGAAGGAACATTTGTTGGAAGCTATGAGACTTCTATATACTGTAAAGCATACTTGGACAATTCAAAGAATAGCTCTAACATCAAGGGAACAACTGCACACTGAGGAATGTCTTACTGGCAAAAAAAAAAGTCTTTTTTATTTGAGAAAAATATTTTGGATTTAGTATGTTTGTATTCATCATCTTAGGTTGGATGGAAGACTTCCAGTTTGTTGGGCTTTTTCATGGGTAGAAAAATTAATGAACTTTAAAATCTTTCCCTAAGCAAGATTTACTGGAATGAAAATTCCTGTTTTATAGTCAGACGTTTGTAACTGAGTCCCTGATTAATGTGATTACCAGCTGCATTGCCGTCGCATTAAAGCAGTGAATGACATTTGAAATGCACTTAATTCTTACAGCAAGTTCAAATTGCAGCTCAACGCTGGTGTTAAAGGCTAAGGCTGAACAGTCAGTTCAAAATTACTCAGAGATGAAGTGTGTAAAATATTAAAGAGGGTAAGCCCTTAAAAAGTCACTTTTAGGCAAAATATTAGTTTCTTACTGTGGTAATAGTTTTATCCATTTCATATATGGCATTTGCCAAGTGCTTGTATCCAGTTCTAATCAAAGCTGAAACTCTAATGATTAGGCTTCATTTTGAGCCACTCTAACGAGCTGCATTTACCCATATTCCACATTTGCTTTAACCTATAGAAAGGAAAAAGAATTATAGATGATAAAGCCATGTCTAATCAGCTTTGGGTAAGCCCAGCTCTGAGGCAGGAGTTATTTGTAGGCTTTGTTTAGAATGGTGAACTCACCTTCGCTGAGTGCTATGGGCTTCACAATTCCCTCCAGATGGCTCTTGAGTATCCCAGTTTTAGTAAGCATTCTTTCCTTTCATCCAGAAAATAGATGACTTCTTATTTAACAGGGTCTGATTAAACTTGCAGCGGAATTATTCACATTGTGGTTGACATCGTTCATCAATTTAATGGTGCATGAAAACAGGGACATAAAAATTGTCAGCATATGAAAAGTGTATCTTCTGGCTGTGCTGTTTCATTCTGTGTTGAGTTGTAGTGATATTATTACTAACTTGTTTAATTCCTGCATGGAATGGCTTTGGTAAACATGCCATTGTATTATGACAATATTTTTGATCTCTGGCTTTCCAATAGGAAAAACATTTCTAAAGACTAAGAGATTCAGAATTACTTCATTTTAAGAAATTAGAGGAAGATTAGTTATTTCCCCCATCTCCATTTCTGATAGTCCAGTTCTTTTCTAATTCCTTTGCTCTTCTGTTCTTGTCATAGGAACCTGTATATGCTTCTACTTACTCTCCTGTTATACCCGCTCTCCATAAATTTCATCCTTTTCTGCCTATTAATCAGGTGAGCAAAAGTCTGCACAGTTTAAATGCTTGACGATTTCAAGTAAGCACATTTTGACTTTTTTTTAGGTAGGAAATAAAAATCCTCTTAACTGATTAACCAGCTTAGTAAATGCTGCTTTAAAGAAACATAGTATTATGCCACTATGCTCTGTACTCTTCTTCAATAGAGATTCTGCTAGTGTTTATCTTACATTTGCTTTTCTGAAAATTCTGTATCTGTTAGACTATATAGGTGAGAAAATAAATGAAGGCGATGCATTCATTGTAACACTGAAAACTTGCAAGTTGTTAAAAGGGTATATAAAAGGAGCAATATGTAACTGAGTAGCGTTTGTTTTGGAATAAAATGCTGTGTACCCTGACTTCTCTGTAAGTAATGTGGTTTTATGTAAGACATAAAATCATCTAATTTATTGACTGTAAGAAACAAACTGCCTTTGTTCAGAGGTGACTTTCCTATAGTGCTTTTCCCTAGTCCCTGTCTAAAGGATTTTTGCCTTGACACATCCTGCTTCTATTCTCTGACTGTCCCATCTTCCTGCTTTTCTCTCTTTCTTCCTTTAAGGTCTGTAGTACTAGTTTGAAAGAATCGAGCTCTGTGATTTCTAATGAATGTCATCCTTGGAGATGGAAGGTGAAATGCTGTACAAGCTTCCTATTTAATTATTGGAGGGAGGAGTGAGACAGAAAATTACATTCAGATCTAAGATTCCCAAACCAAGTTGTGGCAACAGAGTTAACTTTGTGTTTGCTTTGGAATAGAGTTCTGCTGCTGTTCCAGTAAATGTTAGAGAAGCTTCATGTGAAGTGCTCCTCAGAATCATGTCCATACCTCTACAGTTCCATCATAAACAATTTGAAGAACTTACTTATGAAGAATTAATAGATA